TTTTCTGAATGGATCTAGTAAAAAGAATACAGAGGATACCAAGGTGTCTGCTTGCAGTCTTATGAATTTAGAAAAAGAACTAACAGGTAGAAGTTGAAACTCACAAAAGCAGAATTACTAGCCAACAGAAGAAAGATGAGTTAATTTCAAGGTTTATCGTTATTTTGGCATTATAAGTGATATTTTAAGAAGCATTAGAAATTTGAATTAACCTCATAAGTACTAAAACAAGCTCATCATTATAACTACACAGTCTAAGTAGTAATAGGCCAACAGATACTTAGCACTTACTACATGCCAGGTCCTATGCTAAATGTATTGTATGCATTGTCTCATTAGCTCTTTACAATGACTCTGTAAAGTAGGTGCAATTATTATTTCTCTTATACAAAACAGTAAATTGAAGTACAAACAATGACACAATATTCCCAAGGTCACACACCTAGTATTCTCAAATTTTAGCCCAGGTAGTATAATTCCTGAGCCTGTACTTTTTTTAGTTAGACACAATACTTTATTTTATTTATTTATCTTTTATGTGCTCAGGATCGAACCCAGGACCTCACACATGCTAGGCTTGGTAGCGCTCCACCATTGAGACACAACCGCAGCCCCTGAGCCTGCACCTTTATACTTTCTATACTCTACACCCATAATACATATTAATGTTTATAAATTTTAATATTGAAGCCAGATTTAAAATTAGGTAGTCAGTGTAGTTAGGTAAATCGGGTCTAATATCGAGTGAAATCTAAAATGGAGGCCATGTTGAGAATGAATTTCCGGAAAAGTTGAGCAATTCTTGGAATGTTTATGAAGCCCAGGAAACAGCCCCCAACAGATCTGGAGAAAGCCCATCCCAAAGAAATGTTAATGAACAGCAAACTTGACTCAGAAGTGCCCAGATTACTTCTTTGGCCAACCTGTGTCCCAACCCTTCCCACCTACATTCCATCACCAAAAACTATAAAAAGGGGATCCGCCCTTCAACAGATTCCACCTCTTGGGTCCCCTTCTTCCTCCGGGAGAAGTCTTTTCTGCTGTCCTTTAATAAACTTCTAATTTTCCACTCTGACCTTGCCTCGGCGTGCTTCTCTGGTGTTATTCTTCAACATTGGGGAAGCAAGGACTCGTCACTGGTCAACAGTGGTAACAATATCATTCATGAAATCTACAAAAATACTATAAATTTTGTAGTATCACTTTTGGTGACTGATTCTTCTTACAAAACAAAGCAGGAAATGTGCATTTAGCCACCCTATACAGATTAAAAAACAAAATGGCTATCCTCAATGTGTATGAATAATACAGTGTGAAGGAAAAGCAAAGTCATCAACAAAAAACTTTGCAATTTATTTTATAGTCTAAAATAAACTTCACATAAACTATGAATTTAAATACATTAAACTTAGCCTTCCTGTATAATCAATGCCACTCAAAACTGTCTAATGAAATTAGATTACACCAACAGATTATACCAATGGGTAATACTTTAAAATCTTTCTGTATTTCCCCTCTTGGTTGTACCAATTGTCATAAAACTTTAAAATTTCTGACCATAAAAATGTTTTAAATTAGCCGGGCTTGGTCATGCACGCCTATGGTCCTAGCAGCTTGAGAGGCTGAAACAGAAGGGTGAAACCCAGCCTCAGCAACAGCAAGGCATTAAGCAACTCAGCAGGACCTTGTCCCTAAATAAAATACAAAATAGGGCTGGGAATGTGGCTCAGTGGTCGAGTGCCCGTGAATTTAATCCCTGGTACCAAAATAATTAACTAATTAATTAATTACATAATTTGCCAGGCATGGTGGCACACACCTGTAATCCCAGTGACTTGGGAGGCTAAGGCAGGAGGATCACCAATTTTTTTAGAGGTCAGTCTCAGCAACTTAATGAGACCCTGTCTCAAAATAAAAAATAAAAAGGGCTGGGGATGTAGCTCAGTGGTTAAGCATCCCTGGGTTCGATCCCTAGTACAAAAAAAAAAAAAAAGCCATAATTCATAACAATAACTGTACAGTCTATACATCTGAAAATTTCATACACCCTTTATAATTCTTGAAATATCTCACTTTTTTGACTCAAATACACTGATTAACATTTCATGTCTTTGAATCTTATTTTTTAGCATAGACTATACTCCTTAAGAGTAAAAACAGCACTTGGGTCTCAAGTATTTTTAATCAAGTCAATAATCTCAGTATCTATCCAAGTGTAATCAAAGAGCAATAATTAAAGGAAAATGTTTTTCACTATTCTCAAAGACTTACGTATCATAAATGTGTAACAATCTACAAGTCATTTTTGTAGTTTAAAAAATATCTATGCTTCCAAAAAGTATTCCAGGATTCTCAGAGGATGCTCCAGGAAGAAATAAAACACAGTCTAAGATGTTCTATTCCTGAAAAGAAATAAATCTAGAGCCACTTATCAGAAAGAATTCCTGAAATGCGGATGAATGAAAATATTTAAATCAGCACTCTAAGAACCCTGAACTCCCTGACACTGTGTGAAGCAGTTATTGGTAATACAAAAACTGAATGCTGATCAATAAATCTCCATTATTTCATTTAAAAATTGAAGCAGTATTATTTTCAGAAAACTTTAATACACAAAAAGGCTTTTATAACAAATTGTAACAGACTTAACCTGTATTTTTTTAAAGTACACATGTAAGAAAGCAAAAAGTATCAAAAAGGCAAACACTATATTACCTTGTCAAGGAAAAATCATTATCTGTTTTAGCACCAGAAAACACAGAATAGTCTAACTTTCATTCAACAGTTTTCCAGGTAGGCCCTACAGTATGTAAAAATCTGAACTCTTAATTTTGCAGTAAACAAAATTGTCACTTGCTGCCTTCCAACTTTTATCAATACCACTTTATAAAAGGCAAAGACTATCAACCTTTCCTAGATGATTCCAATACTCAATAATTTAAATTTTAATAACATGGCTTTAAATGATTAATAATAAAGACAATTATGCTTTCAACTTTTCCATCTTGAAACTTTTATTTGATCAAACCTATTTTTCACTCACTTTTCCACCACTTTTCTTAGATTTGACTGGAATATGCGACACATTAGAATATTGTAAGATCACCATAATAAAGTTATCTGAGCTCTAATAACACAAAATACATAACTAATTCAGTGGAAGACAGAGGTTCACTGTTCCCCCAATAGTATGCTAAAGCACTATAATAAATTGCATTTTTTTATGCTCTTCAATAAATGGACCCATAAAATATTCAAGAAACAAGGAAAATTTTGGTCCTATCACTGACTCATCTGTTATCAGTTTGATATTCACTAGTACAACTACCAAATAAACCTTGTAATCTAAGGTTGTAATTCTTTTTTAAATGAAAGTGGCCCGTTTCAGCTATGTCTAAGTATTTCTTCTGTTAAGGAAGTTACTGAATGCGAGGCTTAGTTCAGAGTAGTAATAACTCCTAAAAGACCTCCCTTAAATTCTATTTCTATATTTGGAAAATAGAGTATTTATTTTAAAATAATAACAGTGATGATGATGTTGGGGGAAAGAATCATTATGGTAATATATGACCAGTAAACAGAAGAATGGGAATAAGTGGGGAAAAGGTCAATGCGATGGCAAAGTTTAAAATTATTTCTTGACATAACAATAATCTTTACACAACACCTTCTGTGCTCTGTAATGGGAGCTATAAATTCAAAAATGTAAGTATGCCACAACAGTAAATGTCCTGGTTCTTTGACTCACATATTTCTTTCTTATCGCAAACACACATATTCATCTACAAACATTTTCAAAATAGCAAACACTCATTCAAAAATTTTTTAAAAAAAGTAAATAAATAAATGCGGTGTAGTTTTGGAAGATCTTAAAGCGACCAGCTGAAAAAAGACAAAAATGTTCAATCTGAAATAGTAACTAAACGTAACCACGATTTAAGTACTCCATAAGTACTTTACTGTCATCATTTTCATATTTTGGTTAAAATAAGTGAGCAAAGTTTGAATTTAGGGACGGCTCAATTATCGATGATTCTTTTTAAGTATCTCTACATATAACGAAAATCAGGAATAAGCAGATTTTAAAGCACTGTTACCACTTCCATTATACCACAATCACGTTCTACTAAAGATTACTGCATAGCACTAATAGTCACACATTTGAATCCTGGAAATGGCATTTGGAAACCCAAAGATGAGAAAAGGTCATCTGACCTGGCAACACATTCCTGAGGGAAAGAAGAGACACTGGACCGTGAGCGGTACCAACATTCTTTCCCTTTCTCCCTTCTCCCAACACCCCCTCTCCGTGTCAGGTGATCAGTTATTTAGCACCATTAACACGTACGTATCGACAAGTGGTTCATTAAATTACACGTATTATCAGAAGACATGATTCTAGGCTTTCCATTTCAAACTACGCGAAAGGAGCCGACAGTTTGGGTCCAGAGCACAAAAGCGCGCGTTAACAGGAGGATGGATGGAGCACCCACAACCCTCTTCAAAAGCGGGATGGCAAAGGATAGGCCTCGCGGCCAAGGCCAGTCCCCGCCTCCCGGCCCGGGGGCCCTGAGCTCGACACTGGGGCTCCAGAAGAAGGCGGCTGCCAGGAGCTGCGGATCCGGCAGCCTGCGAGCCCGGCCTTCCCTGCAGCGCCCGCCGAGCCGTGCCTCGCCTCCCGGCCTGCGCGTCGGCGGCTGGGCAAATCACCGACTAGGGCCTGGGAGAGGCCGCGGACCCGACCTTCCGCCTGGAGACCGCGCCTTCGCGTCTCCCTCCCCAGCCCGCGGTCCAAACGGTTACCAGCGGCCGAGGCGGGGCGCGGGTAGGCCGTGGAGGTTGCGCAAGAGGCCCGGGAGGCGATTTCCCCGCGGCGCGGGAGAAAGGCGGGCAGTGTCCGCCGAGGGAGGGTGGGGAGGCCCGCGGAGGAGCCGTGCGTGTGGAAGGGGACGGGGGGAGGGTTGCCCGTCTCCCTGGCCGCGGCCACAGCCGCAACTCACCCAGCTCCTCCAGACGAGCGCTACCACTGGCAGCAAGAGGAAGATGGTGGCCGTGCCGCCGCCGCTGAGAAGGAGGAGGGGGCCCGGTGGGTGCCGCGGAGAGGGGGGTACGCGCAGGACGTCGGCGTCGTTGCCACAGCCTCTTTTCCTCCCGGGACCGAGCGGCTGCTGCTGACGACACTATTCCTGGCTTCCGCGTCGCCTTCCTAATCCTCGTTGCAGCCGCCACCGCCTTGGGCCCAAGGATCGCTTGCCTCGTGAAGATCGTGCGGCGCCGCGAGACCCCGCAGCCATCGGCGTGCGGCGGCGGCGCGGGAGCAAGAACCGGGCGCGTCACGTGACGCCACTGTTTACCGTTCCGGGGGCCGCGGCCTGCGTAGCAGCCGCGCCTGCGCGGTTGGGTCTTCCCGCGCCGCGCCTCCGTGGGGCCCCCGGCAGCCGACTTCACTAGGCTTGCGTCTTCCAGGGACACGGCACCGCCCGCGCACTTCTGTAGCTTCCACCTCACCCCGGGCGGACAGGATAAAGCCAAGTTGGGCGCCTTTTCTCGACCATAATAAGCACTAGGACTTGACGGTTAATGTAATATTGATAGGCAAAGCTGCTCCCTACCCCCAAGGTACTTTTCATTAATTGGATATGAATTCAAGAATGGTAAACGTTGCCCACATATTCTCTGATGGTTCTGCACGACAGTCACCAATGACTAGTGCCACCCTCACCCCGCCGCCTTATAGCTGATCTACCTCAAAACTGAAACTGCCTGCACCAAGAAACATTCTTGGTATCCTGGTATCCAAAAAGCAGTCTTTAAAATGTGATCTGAGGTCCCAAAGAATCTCCAAGACCTTTAACAAAAACCGCCATTCCTCTGACAATAGCATATGTTCAAGGCCAAATTTCTTTCCACCTTTCAAGCAAAACAGCATATAGAAATTAAAGGAACAACAGATGGGAGAATCCAGATGTTTTCTATCTAGCCAAACATTAAGGACGTTTGCAAAAAAAACTTAACTACACTGTTCATTAATTTATCAGAAAAAAATTCATACTTAATATGGTAGTGTCCCACTGGTTATTTTTAAATAATAGATGATTAACTTTTTCTAGGTTTAATCTCTGTAAATATTGATATACAATCATATAAAGAAAAGCTATAGGGAATCCCTCAATTTTTGAGAGTTTACAGAGCTCCTGAGACTAACAAGATAGAGAATCCTCAGTCAAGTTTGAGTACTTCCACAATAGCTAGGGCTTACTCCATACCAGCTCTAATGAGCGCTGTGGTGTAACTCTTCCTTTGACCAAAAATGAGCCTCTTAAGGACAGGAACTGTGTCTTCTTTGATAGACACTATTTCAATGTTCAGTAAGAACTGCAGAGCACGTTATTATTCATGTGGCCTGTACTTTTTTTTTGGTTGGGGGTGGGTACTAGGGATTGAACTCAGGGGCACATAATCACTGAGCCACATCCCCATCACTATTTTGTATTTTATTTAGAGACAGGGTCTCACTGAGTTGCTTAACACCATGCTGTTGCTGAGACTGGCTTTGAACTCAAGATCTTCCCGCCTCAGCCTCCCGAGCCACAGGGAACCACAGGGATTACAGGCGTGTACTACTGTAAGGGGCTGTGGCCTGCATTCTTCCAAAAATTTTGCTTGTTGACATAAACCTCACACCAACCACAGTTCATGCTGCCAGATCAATAGGAGGTAGAATAAGTCACAGGCATGTAATGACCAGCTCTTTACTCTCTCTACTCTTCTGATATTTTAAGTGCTTTAGATACCCTGGGCTTCTAGAAAGGAGATTTGTATTATCCTGATTCTGCCAGATTTCTAGCATTCCACCCCCTTCCTTGACTCATCAATCCCTCAAGACTTTGCTTTCCAATCTTTTTTTTTTTTCTTTTGAGGAAAAAAGAAATGAATAATCAAAAACATTTCTTTTACTTGCGATATTGGAGATGGATTTCAAAAACAAACCTAATGCTTTCCTTACTCTTCTTCTGAATTTCAATGTAAAATTTGAAAAGAATGTTAGGAAAGAATAAGATTAAATTGTTGCTATAAACAAAATCCAACCCTGAAGGAATTCAAGAGTAGAACCTCATAAAGAAAATTATTAAATGGAACATTCCCTTAGAAGAGCTGAGAAACCTAGTAAACAGAGAAGTCTTAGTAAATTTAGGGAAAATAAACAAAATGAAAGTAAAAAAGAAAAGAGTCATAAGACTCTAATTTACCAAAGATTTCTGATTCTAAGAAAATCAGCAACTTGCTATAAAGCATGATGCATGATGTTTTGATTCTATTATTTTGAGTCAGTCAAGGGCCCAGATTCAGATTTGTCCACCAATGATCTTTGCTTATTGCTTCCAAAGATAAGAACAAACTGTTTACCTAATTCGTAGCAAAGTTACTAAAAGTAAGAGCCAGCATAATAATACTAGGAATGGCTATAACAGCACACAGGACCCTCTTTTAGTTAAAGGACTTACTTGAAAAATCATATCATATTGGTTAAAAAAGAGAGAGAGAGAAACAAAATGGCTAAAATTGACTTATGTTTGTATTTGACTAAAAAATTATGAGAAGGAAAATTGACAAAATTTGAATCTTGCAAAACCCTCACCCAGGAAAATTGAGCCTAGATTAGATGAAAGCTATGCAAGACAGCATACAATGCAGATATAATCAGTTTGGGGAAAAAAATGAACAGTTCACGTTTTATCTGGCCTGGAGTTGGCCTGAGGGATTTCTGACAGTGGGAATGTTCTCAGGAATGAAGAAATACCAGACAATTTGGTGTTTTTCAGGAACTATAAAAGATTCATTATCTGAATGTCCATGTTGCCACCAAAGAATAAAATGCAAACTTCCTCATAGGAAATTTACCCGCACTCTAGATCCCAATATTATCAGGGATCTTTTCAACTATTGTGAGGAAGATAGATTTGGGAAGATAGAAAGAGATATCATATGTTCAGGCCTTCACCTTTCTACATTCTAAGCAACTCTTGCTCTTCCGCACAAGTCCTCTTAGCTCTCACCTCCTCCACACCTGCTTCCAAAGGGACAGAGATCCTACCCAGGACTCCTCCTCAACCCAGCAACTGAGCCCCCGCCATACCACAATTCTCTTTCTAATGAAGCCTCCGCAGCAACTGAACCTCAGCACCTCTACCCTTCTCTCCTTCTGACACACACTCATGGACTGCTGCTGCCCAACCTGCATCTATATCCTCTACTTGAGGTGGCTAGGATAGATGGTGTAATCCGGGTTCATGTGCCTTTCTCTTTGTCAGATCTTTCACAGATAGAAAAGCAGCTTGGGTCCTACACTTCAAGCCCCACCACATATATCAAAGAGTTTCAATATCTGAGATGGGCTGGGGATATGGCTCAGTTGGTAGACTACTTGCCTTGCATGCACAAGGTCCTGGGTTTAATCCCCAAAACTGCCAAAAAAAAAAAAAAATCAACTGACCCAATCATATGATTTGACCTTCCACAGTGTCCATATGATCTTGTCCAACACCCTTCTGCCCCAGGAGTGCAGGCAAGTTTGGGAGCAAGCTAGAAATTATGCTGATGAGGTGTATCAGACCTCCCCTGCACAACCAATTGGGACTCAAGCAGTCCCTGATTGGGACCCCAAATGGAATTATAATTCACCTGGAGAAGTAACTAGTAGAAACCAATTCATTACTTGCCTCATGGCAGGACTTTGAAAGGCAGCTCATAAGGCTATCAATTATGAAAGGCTCCAGGAAATCTTTCAAATTAAGAATGAAAACCCTTCAGCATTTTAGACCACCTGACCAAGGCTTTATTACAATATACTCATCTGGACCCCAACACTCCACATGGGAGACAACTACTAATGACCTCCTTTTTCTGTCAGAGTTTCCCGGATATTGAGGCCAAACTAAGATGCCTCGAGATGGATCCCCTAACTGCCCAAGCTGAGGTTCTGGAAGTGGCCTTTAAGGTGTATAACAAAAGAGACGAGAAGGCCCAAAGCAGAAATATCAGATGTCGTTCAAGCCATCCAGCTGGCCTTGGCATCTGTCCCTGGTTCCCTTGGCTGGCCAGTGGACAGGTCCCAAGGGACCCTCTGGACCCTGTTTTAAATGTGGTCAGATGGGTCATTGAGCTTGTACATGTCCTAAGCTTTGCAAGCCTCCAGACCCTTGTCCTAAATGCCATCAGAAGAAACACTGGGCCACTGACTGTCACCGAGCCCATAGCGGCCCCCAGCCATCTGGCCCTTCTAGTTTCCCTTTCCAACTCTTAGGGCTGGCTGCAGAGGACTGACAAGGCCCAGGTCCCCATCACCTGACCACTACCATCACTCCACAGGAACCCAGGGTAACTCTGTGTATTTCAGGTAGGCCTGTCTCTTTCTTCCTAGATGCTGGGGCTACATATTCTGTCCTCAAGGAGTTCTGGGGGCCTACTACTTGTTCTATGACCTCTATTGTCAGGGTAGAGAGTAAACCTCACCAACCCTTACAGACACTCAGACTTGTTTGAGCTTCCGGCTCTCTAATTATTACTCACTCCTTTTTGGTGATTCCACAGTGCCCCGTTCCCCTTACAGGAAGGGACATCCTCACAAAATTGGTGGCTATGCTTTCCTTCTCCCCTCATATATGCTTCCATCCAGACTCACCTACCACTCCCCTGATCCTCACCCATACCTAGGACCATCCCTTATTCTATCTGCCAGTGTCTTCCCATTACCCACTTCCAAGATGGACCCTACTGTCTAGGATATTTCAAGTCCTTCTATTGCTTCATGCCACAAGCCCATTCACATCCATCTCAAAGACTCCCTCCATTTTCTGGCCTAATCACAATACCTGCTCTCCCAACAAAACTCCTAGGCTTACAGCCTATCATTCAAGATCTCTTGTGAAAGGGATTCTTTAGACCTACTTATTCCCGTTATAACACCCCCATCTTGGCAGTAAAAAAGCCTAATGGTTTCTACCACTTGTTCCAAGACCTCTGTTCCATCAACTCTGAGGTGATCCCAATCCATCCTGTGGTAACCAATCCTTATACCCTTCTCACCATCATTCCTTCCAGGACTTCTTACTTCTCAGTACTAGACCTGAAAGATTCTTTCTTCTCTATTCCCCTCCATTCTGATTCTCAAGACATTTTTGCCTTTACATGGACAGACCCTGAGTCTTATAACTCCACTCAGCTGATGTGGACAGTTCTCCCCCAAAGGTTCCAAGACAGCCCTCATATCTTCGGACAGGCTAAGGACCTAGCATCCATACATCTCACTCAAT